CTGAATAGACATTTCTTTAGCTGTGTAGACACTAATAAGGTGTCTGTGTGCCTAGAAACAACCCTAATGAAACTCTTTGGGACATACACACACAGACACACAGACATACACACACACACACACACACACACACACACACACACACACACGAAAGACTTGAAAGGAGAAGTGGGACTTGTTGCTAAAAGGAAGGGGGTTAGCAGGAGTGTGGGGAGGACAAGAGAGAGGGTGGTAGGAGGAGTGAATATGATCTAAATATAGTCTGCATATTAAGAAATTTTCATAAGGAAACACATCATTATGTATAATTAATATATGCTCATAAGAAAACATAAAAAGAAACTATGGGTGAAGTCAGAAACAATTTGGCAGTTCTATTTTTTATGGTTTGGGTTTTTTTTTTGAGACAGGGTCTCCCTATGACCCCAGCTGTCCTGGAACTCACTATGTAGACCAGGCTGGCCTGAACTCACAGATATCCGCCTGCCTCTGCCTCCCAAGTGCTGGGACTAAAGGCGTGCACCACCATGCCCGGCATGTATTTATTTTTATGTTATGTGTATGAGTGTTTTGCCTACAGGTATTTAAAGTGCACCCATGCATACAATGTCCTGGAAGTTCGAATCCCCTGGAACTGAAGTTATGGACAGTCATTAGCCACCATGTGGGTGCTGGAAACTGAACCCAGGTCCTCTGCTGGGGCTCTTAACCACTGAGCCATCTCTCCTGCCCCAATTTGGCAATTCTTCATCAAATTAAGCATGAATGTGGCTTACAACGACCTAACAACATTGCTCCTGGGTATACATCCCAGAGAACCTGCTTACATTGTCCCCAGATGATTCTAGAGCTCATCAAGTCAACAACTGAGATGATCTATCACAATTAAGAGTTCCTTCTATCTCCAGCAACAGGGGCACTCTGGTTTCCAAGGTTCTTGAAAACACAGTGTTTGTGTATGTCAACCAACATCCAAAGTATCTGATCACGGGACCTGTGCGTGGAAGAGTCCCTGTGGGGCTTCAGCCTACATAGGGAGCATAAGAGATCTCATAAAAGAAGCTAGAAACTGGGACTTGGGAGATGGCTCAGAAGTTGTGAGCACGTGCCACTCTTGCAGAGGACCTGGGTTTGGTTTCCAGCACCCACATGGTGGCTCACACCAGCCTCCAAGGGCACCAGGCACCCACATAGTGCACAACATACATGTAGGCAAAACACTCATACACATAAAAAAATATTGAAAAATAGCCCCTACCAGCTGCTATTCCCCTTAGGAGATATCTGCCCCAGCATACACCAGATGCTAGAAGAGTGAGGGCGGGGGTACAGTCATGTGGTTGGGGGAGATGGGAAGGGACCCACATTTATTAGGGCAGTGCTAGCTTTGAATATTACTCTGTCACTAGTTCTTTTATCTTTATTAGTCACCAAACCCCTCCGAGCCTTGTTTTCTCATCTGTAAAATGATCATGAAAATACGTATCTATAGGGTGGCTATGAGGTTGGAACTCATAAAAAAAGGCAAGCAAATCGCTGGAGTGTGGCAGAGCATAGCTGTGGTTCTATCACTTTAAAAGAAACAGGAGAAGCATCAAAGGTTCAAAGTGAGATTGTTTATAGTGATTTCAGGTCAGTCAGCTACATAGCAAGACTATCTCAAAGAACCAAACAGCAGCCAGGCATGGTGGTGCATGCCTTTAATTCCAGCACTTGGGAAGCAGAGGCAGGCAGATCTCTGTGGGACTGAGAACAGGCTGGTCTACATCCCGAGATCCAGGCTAGCTGGGGCTACAGTGAGACTCTGTCTCAAAAAACAAAACAAACAAAACAGCAAACAGGCCCCTTTCTGCAGAAGTACCCCAGTGAAATCCTGTGTCTCAGGCAACAAGCTCAAGCCTTGGTCTATTGTATTCTCAGCGTGGAGATCAAACTACCCACCTTTCAACTGGGTAGAAGTTCAGTGAGATAAAAACTTCTTAGCACTGTTACTAGAACAAAAAGTTCACTCCATTGGTGTTTATTAGGTATTTGGAGGGAGGGAGAGAGGGAGGGAGAGAGGGAGAGAGAGAGGGAGGGAGGGAGGACAGCTCAGTGGTAGGATGTCAGGGGGAACATGATTGATTTTACAAGAATACCAGATCTTCACAAAACGCAGGTGCTTTCCAAGCAGGTTTTTATTATATCTGTGGCCTTGGGTCTTGAGCACAGATGTAACACAACGAAGTGAAAATTGTTTTAAACATGCCCAGTTTCAGTCAAGCATGACCTGCACTTGCCATTTTTGCACCTGTGACTCATCTCAGTTGAGGCCAGAGCCAACAGTTCAGCAACTAAGATCATAGTAGCTCCCTGGGGCAAAGGATGAGAAGGGAGATATGCATAGGGGAGGCCTTCCTGATGCCCATAATGCCTTGGAAGCCCCAATCGGTGATATTTCCAGAAAAGAATTACAACTCAGCCTCTCCTGCCATTCCTGACGCCATTGTAAGAACAAAGAGGTGCCGACAAAGCAGACAGCCTGGCATTTGCTTCAGTTCTTTCGTGTGTGTGTGTATGTGTGTGCGTGTGTGTGTGCGCATGTGCGCATGTGCGCACCACAGGGTATCTGTGGAGGTCCAAGAACAATTTGTGGAAGTCGATTCTCTCCTTCCACCATGTGGATTCCAAGGATCAAACTCATATCATCAGGTTTGGCAGCAAACCTTTATCTGCTGGCTTCAGCAGTCAACTTGACACAGTCCAGAGTTATCTAAAGGGGTCTTGATTGGTGGATTTCCCAGCATAGACTGGCCAAGGACCACATCTATGAGGAATTGTCTTGATTACTGATTGATGCGGGAGGGCTCAGCCCACTGTGAGTAGTGACATTCCTGGGCAGATGGGCCTGGCCTGTATAAGAAATTCAGCTCAGGGGCTTGAGAGATGGTTCAGCGGTTTAAGAACACTGGCTGTTCTTTCAGAAGACCCGGGTTTGAATCCCAGCACCCACATGGCAGCTAACAACTGTCCATAACTCCAGTTCCAGGGGATTTGATGGCCTCTTCTGTCCTCTGTGGGCATTGCACGATAACAGTACACTTACATACATGCAGGCAATACATGCATACACATAAAATAATAATAAAAAGAAGCCAGTTGAATGTGAGCCTTGGGAGTGAGCCAGTAAGCAGCATTCCTCCATGGTTTCTGATTTGAGTTCCTGCCCTGACTTCCCTCAATGATGAATTATGACCTGGAAGTGTAAGATGACATAAACCCTTTCTTTCCCTAAGTTGCTTTTTGGTCTGAGCATTTATCACAGCAACAGAAATGATACAGGTGCTGACGTCAAGGTCACAGTCAGGCAAAGACTACAGAGGTAGTAAATGTGTCTCTTTTGGAAATGGTAAGATCATCAGAGCTGGAACATGGCTATAGCCTAATATAGACATCTCCATATTCATGGGAGACTGGGCCCAGAATGGCCAGAGATGCCAAAATCCAAAAGTGCTCAAATCCCTTATATAAAATGTGTAGTTCTAAGAGCTGGGTGTGGTGGCACGTGCCTGTATTCTCAGCACTTGGGAGGCAGAGGTAGGCAGATCTCTGTGAGTTCAAGGCCAGCCTGGTCTACAAAGTGAGTTCTAGTCCAGTCCCCGCTATAGGGAGACCCTGTCTCAAAAAGGGGAAAAAGAAAGGAATCCTTCAATGTTAGCAGCAGATCTGATAGTTGTGGTCTGCTTTATTCCAAACGAAAACCGAGTAACAGAATGCTGCCATTTCTGATCATGATCTACATGGTCTTCCACAGTCACTTTGGAAACTATTTTCTTCAACAGAGACACCCTTGTTTAGAAGCACTCTGTCTCACCAATGTGTGGATTTTTCTTTCTTATGAGTAAATGAATTTATAATATAGAGTTTGACAAAAGTGCAAAGGACAAGATGCTAAGATTTTCTCATTTTTGCATTCACTATTTCTATATCACGGTGATGACCTTTCTCTTCTCTCTCTCTCTCTCTCTCTCTCTCTCTCTCTCTCTCTCTTTCTTTCTTTCTTTTTTTTTTTGAGACAGTTCTCCCTGTAGCCCCAGCTGGTCTGGAGCTCACTATGTAGACCAGACTGGCCTTGAACTCATAAAGATCAACCTGCCTCTGCCTCCTGAGGGCTGGGATTAAAGGCATGTGCTACCATGCCAGGCCATAGTTCTTTGTTTATAAAATCTACACATCTTTCTGCATACTTATAATACAATGAGAATAGTTGTTATACTATATTGTTGAGGTAATAAGAGAAAACTCTGTTCGGTACAGACACAATTTGTTTTTCAAAGGTGTTCAGTCTGGTTGGTTGAATCCGGGAATGTGGAATCCATGGATACAGAGAATCAGCTGTGTATTCTTCCCACCACCACCCCGCCCCAGAGCCCAGGATGTTGTTCCCATATACAGCTTTTTCCTGGGAGAAACAGGGACTAATCACAAGCCACCACCTCACACCTGCCAGTTATTTTTCTTTTGCATGTATGAGGAGTGGCTGTTGAGACAGGGTCCCCCTGTAGCCCCAGCTGCCTTGGAACTGGCTATGTGGACTAGGCTGGCCTCAATCTCACAGAGATCTGCCTGCCTCCGCCTCCCGGGTGTTAAAGATGTGCACCACTACGCTCGGTCAATTATTTTTCCTACTGAGCACTTACTGAATACAGGCCCTGGGCACTTTATACTAGTGACAGCAGGGTCTCCCGAGGTGTGCTCTGCATATACTGGAGCACTTGGGGGTGACCTCAGACAGAACACAGAGGAACATTTTTAATAGCTACATTTTTACGTTTCTGTTCACTTCTTGTGGTAGGTGTCATTAGCTTTCACTTTCAAGTTTTCTTTTTCATTGAATGTAAGTTTTAAAAATTGGCTCCATTTAAAGAAAAATATTTATTAACTAAACATACTACGATACATGGATATTGCAGAAATTGCAAGGGGGGTCTATAAATGACTGAAATTCAGAAAACACTGCATTAGCATATAAACATTCAGAGCTTTATTTGATTGATAGTGGTAGACACCCATTCAAATAAACAAGCAAGAAGCAAGTTAAGTGAAGGGATCCTGACAAGGGAATCTCACAGGATCCATGGGAAAGGCTACAGGAGAGCCATGGGGCCCCTGGAAGCCTTCTCCCCTTGCCACTCAGGTTCCTGCCATGTCTCTAGTCTCTGCCCCACCCATCTTCTTCCTGCATAAAGCCATGTGTCTACTACACAGGTGGTCATTCAACCCACTTTACACACAGACACACTCACAGCTCTAGAGTTTAGATGGCTTCAATTAAGTGACCTGCAAAGCCCCGAGAAGTATCCTGAATCCACATGCCCAACTCTCATCCTTTTGGTTCCTGTCAGAGGACTGAGGGTGCCAGAGTCTCAGGAAAGGGGAGCTTCAGGGGTGACCGAGAGGTGCCTGCTCAGTATTCACTGCTCACCACAGCTCTGTGAGGTAGATTCTGCCTCACAGCTAACAACACTGAGAGGTAGAAAATTAAACCCTGGCTCCACGGCAGCAAGTAACAAAGCCAGGACTTGAACCTGAGTTTGTTTGACATCAAAGCTCAAGTATGTGGCTGTAACCACTTAGTCGCCATCAGCTAGGTCTAGTCCACAGCCCCCACCCCAAACCAAATGGGTTACTGGCTTATGGAGGATATTTATCAAAATCTGCGATCCAGTGCTTGCCTGGCAGACACGAACCAAGTGACCAACTTAAGGGGTTACTGGCTGGAAAGAAGGAAGCTATTTCAAAAGAAGTATAATGCTCTGAAAAACAGGGAACGCTCCTCAGAGCTCCAAGTCTGAGGTGCCAGATATTTTCCGCAGGGCAAGAGAGGAATCTCACTTGATGGAACTGTTCCTACACTGTTAATCTAAAATTCCCCCCACAGGGTCCTATTTGTTTTGCTTTGTTCTGTTGACTTTTACACGTATTTATGTAGAGAAGAGGCATGCATGTGCCACAGTGCACATGTGGAGATCAGAGGACAACTTTCAAGCATCCTTCCACCATGTGGGTTCAGGGGAACAAGCTCAGGTTGTCAGGCTTGGCGGCAAGCACCTTTACCTGCTAAGCCATCTTGCTAGCCCAGGGTCATGTTTTGAATGCTTGTTCTCCAACTGGTGGTATTATTTGGGGAGGCTGCAGAACCTTTAGGAGGTGGAACCTGACTGACAGAAGTGGGTGATGGGGTGGGCCTCTGAAGGTTGTACCCTGGCCCCTGGTTGTGATGTGCTGTCTGTTTCTTGGCTCAATACCACATGAACAGCCTCTGCCTCATGTTCTGTTCCCACCACCATGGTCTGAGCTGCCCTGCCATGCCTTCCCTGCTACAATGAATTGAAATCCCCTGAGGCTGTGAGTCGAAATAAACCTTTCCTTCCTTAAGTTGTTTCTGTCCAGTAGGCTGGGCACAGCAAGGCAAAGGTAACTAACACACTTGCCAGATATAACCAGCAGGTACCTAGAGGTCCTCAAGGGAAGCCGTCAACCTCCAGAAGTCAGAACTGAAACTGTCCCTACCACCTCCTGCAAGCTCCATTTGGAGGCACCTTCCAGGGAATGAGCGGCCTTCTTCCACTCTGAAGCTACAGGCACTTCCCTGCTCAAGTGCTCATTTGCATGGGGCTTTTAAGCACTGAGGTGCCTTGGCCAACACAAACCCAAATTTTGCTTTGAGAAATTTCTGCTCAAAGTGGGTAGCTGCCCCACAGCCATTTAACCAGGGTCTGTTGCTAAGACAGAAAGATAGCTAAGGTGGCCATCTCTCTCCCACTCTCTCAGAGCTCACTCAAGCCTAAGCAGAGAGACTTAGCTACCTCAGGAACACATTCCCATTCTAGCTTCTGATCTCTCTTGTTTTATCTTCTCTGGTTGCATTTGAAATAGGTTACCAGGTCAATCAGAAGGTTCTATCAAACCACTTCCCCTAGGATGTGTCACAAAGACCTGTGCCTATGCATAGAAAACGGGTGGCTTCCTTCTAAAACCAACTGCTGCTCCAAATATCTTCTGCACAGCCAGTTAAGAGTCCCTTCTGCCAGCCTCTCTCTCTGCCAGTAGCACTGGGGAGTCGTTGCCTAAAACTTAAGGCTACAACCCCAGTGGGATGAGCTGGGTGCCTCCGAGTCTGCTTTCAAGGTCTGACCCTAGCCTTGATGTTCCTCCTAGCCCAATCAAACTCAGGGGCTCTAGATGAGGTCATGAGGTAAGGTCAGCTAGTCTGTGCCTAAAGGTGAGTGAAAGTTCTGGACTTTTCGGGGCTCTTGAAGCATTATCACCCTTGTCTAAGTGAGGAAGTAGCTGCCATACTTAATGGGTCGCCAGTGTCCACAGAGGAGGTGGCCACACCAGAAACCCTTGTCCCCCAGCTCAGTCTGTGGTGTCCATGGAAGAGAAGACTCCAGGTCTGACTCCAGTAAGCGGAGCCTAATTTTTTAGTGCAATGACAGGGATCTGGTTGGGTGGCACAATCAAGTCAGTTCCTGTGTCGGTGGTAGCCCGGGAACACTTCCGGCTGCTGCGCATGCTATAAAATTTTTCGCTAAGGTGCTTGCGGAACTTCTTGGTAAGGAAGCAATAGATAACAGGGTCTAAGACACAATTGGTGCTGAGGAGACAGAGGGTGATCTGATGTGCATCATTTATAGCCTGGTGGAAGTTGGTCTGGTAGTCCAACTCAGCCAGGGTCCAGGGCAGCTGTACGACATGATGAGGCACAAAACAGATAAAAAATACTGCCAAAACTGTGCAGACCATCCAAAGAGCCCGGCGCTTCATCTCAGCTTTGCGCTGATGCCCTACCGGCTGCATGAGCAGCGTGCGAATGATGACCAGGTTGCAGTAGAGGATGAGGAAGAAGACGAGAAAGAAGCAGAATGTGATGAAGACGTGGACAATGAGGATGGGCACACTGCGAGGCTCATAATGCTCAAAGCAGCGGGTGATGTTGCCTGAGCCATCTTTACTGGGTACTAGGTTGGTAGAGTCTGTAACAAGGAAGTAAGATGCAGCGGCCACAGTGGTGATCCAGATGACCAGGCACAAAGTGATGCCACGCTTGCGGGTGGTGGCCTGAGCAGTCTTGATGGGATGGGCTACTGCCTGGAAGCGGTTATAAGTGATGACGCCCAGGAAGGCCACAGAGCAGTAGGTGTTGACGAAGAAGAGGCAGCCAGCTAGGTTGCACAGGAATTTGGGTAGAATCCAGTTGCCCTCATTGTAGTAATACACGATCCACAGTGGCAGGGTGAACAAGAAGAGCAGGTCCGCCATGGTGAGGTTCACCATGAAGATCTTTATCTCATTCAGTTTCTTGGAAGGATACAGGTGGGCAAAGACCCACAGCACATAGCCATTGGCAATGATGCCCAGCACAAAGATGATGCTGTAAACGACTGGAAAGAGGGTGTATCGAAACTCAGAATCCACCCGGGTGGAGCCATTTTGCACCATTGCTCTGGACTGGAAGGGTCAGCTGGTCATGAGGTGCTGTGTGTACCTAAGATCATGCAAGGAAGGATTCTGGTTAATAGAGTCAAGAAGGGAATAGCCTACTTCATCTATTCCAAAACTCCCTGCTATGATTTGAATGTTGGAGTCCTCTCCCCAAATCCCCAAGGATTAAGAGGGAGGAGATGAAAATAGTCTTTACAAATAGGATTAGAGGGTCAGTGAGATGGCTCAGCAGGTAAGGATGCTTGCCACTATGCCTGACAACCAGAGTTGGTTCTGTGACACCCACGCAGTGGAAGGAGAAAACTGATTCCTGCTACTTGACCTCTGACCTCCACATGCACACAGTGTCATGGGAGTACACACACACAAAAAAAATAAATAAATAATAGAATTATCACCCTTATAACAATGTTCAAAGCTAAAAACACAGTGTCTCTTGACCTTTTTGATCTTCCATCCCATCTAGCATGTAAGGTACAGTGTGCAAGATACCATCTTGGAAACAAACACTGGACCTCCCAAGAAACTAAACCTTGGTCTTGAGCTCCCAGCTTTAGAACTATGAGAAATAATTTTTTTAAAATCATAAGTATTTTGTTATAACAACACTTGTAGACTGATATAATCCCTTTTTGAAGGTGTGTGTGTGTGTGTGTGTGTGTGTGGTATATGACTGTGAGTGTCTGTGTAAATGTGTGTGCATGTATGTGTGTGCTGGTACACATGCAACATGCATGTGGAGAACAGAGTTCAAAGTTTGATGTCTTCCTCTATCACTCCTGTCCTGGTTTGTTTCTTCATTCCTGCAACAAAATACTCTGACCACTACCAACTTCGGGAGGAAAGGGTTTATTTAGGTTACAACTCCCAGGTCACAGTTCATCAGGGAGCCCAAGGTAGGAACTTAGGGCAGGAACCTGGAGGCAGGAGCTGAAGCACAGGCCATGGAGGAACGCTGCTTACTGGCTTGCTCCCTTGGCCCCTTGCTCAGCCTGCTTTCTTATGCAACACAGGCCCACCTGCCCAGGGGTGGCACCACCCACAGTGGGCTGGGCCCTCCCACATCACTCATCAAGAAGATGCCCTTCAGACATGGCCACAGGCCAGTCCAATAGAGGCAATTCCCCGATTGAGGCTCCCTCAACCCAGGTGTGTCAAGTTGACACTAAAGCTACCTAGCACAACTCCCTATTTTATTTTCTGAGACAGGGTCTCTCACTGCACCTGGAGCTCACCAATTCAGCTAGACTAGCTGACCAGCAAGCCCCAGGATCCTCTTGTCTCTGCCTCCAAAGTGCCAGAATGACAGGCAGTCCCAATACACCCAACTTTTTTTTAATGTTTTATTTATTATTTTTATTTTATGTGTATGAGTGTATTGCCTGCATGTATGTAAGTACACCTGTGTTGTGCAATGCCTGCAGAGGACAGAAGAGGCCATCAGATTCCCTGTAACTGGAGTTATGGACAGTTGTTAGCTGCCACGTGGGTGCTGGGATGCGAGCCCAGGTCCTCTGCAAGAACAGCCAGTGTTCTTAACCACTGAGCCATCTCTCCAGCCCCTGCACCCAACTTTTTATGTGGGTGCTGGAGATTGGAACACGGAACACAAGTCTTTATGCTTGCATAACATGCACTTTACTGAGTCATCTCTCCAGCACTCCCATTTACGTATATATCCCTGGTTGGCCTGGAACTTGCTATATAAAGTAGTCTGGACTTGAACTCACAGAGATCTACTGCCTCTGCTTCCCAAGTGCTGGGACTAAAGATGTGAGCTATATCACGCTTGACCCTTTTGCATAATTTTAAGACACTGAAATCACCTGTATCTTCCAATTACTTGGCAGTAGTTTCCTACTTTCTGCATAAAATGATGTGGACTTTATTTTGTTTGTTTGTTTGTTTGCTTGCTTGAGACAGGGTCTCTCTGTCGCCCCGGCTGACCTGGAACTCACTATGTAGACCAGGCCGGCCCTGAACTCACAGAGATCCGCCTGCTTCTGCCTCCCAAGTGCACCACCACGCCCAACTAAATGATGTGTTCTTATAAATCTAGTTCGAAGGGCTGGGGGATATAGCTCAGCGGTACAACACATGCCTGCTGTGCACAGGCTTGGGTTTGATCCCTAGCACTGCAGAAAAAATCAACTTACAGTGATAAGATACATAAAAATTCATATTGCCCAAGTCACACCATTACTAAGTGGTGGAGTCAGGATCTCAAATCCATTTGTTCATTCATGCATTCACCCAACAAATACTTCAGAGCATCAACTCATACCAGACATAATGATGAATACATCAAAGCATCCTTGACTTCAAGGAGGTTATAGTTTTATGAGAAAGATTGAAGTAATCTAAACAGACAGCTGCTATACAAAGAAAATGGAGTGCTGATAAGGAGAAGAAAAAGGGATCTTGGAAAAGAGGAGACATTTCAGTTGAGGCCTGGAGGAGGAAGGATCAGGAAAACATTCGAAGTAGGCTCTGCACAGGTGCCGGGACTGACCAGGGGAGGCCTGGCAGTTCTAGGAATTGAAAGAAGCTCACCAGATGTCTCTTGGCCAGACCTTCAACTGCCATTCCACCTACCTCCTGGGCCACCTTCTCATAGTCTCCAGTCAGAGTGGCTGCCCTGGAAGGCCTTCAGACCTAGGGATGGTGTTGCCCACAGTGGGCTGGGCTCCCTGTACCATTTCATTGACTGCCTCACAGCTCCACAATACTCAACCAGCTGCCTTGAAGGCTCTTCCCAACCCATACTTCTCCCTCGCTCCCTCCCTCTCTCCCTCCCTCCCTCCCTCCTTCCCTCCCTCCCTTTCTTCTGCCCTCCTTCCCAATTCTGATGGAACCCAAGGCAAGGGCTCCACCACTAAGCTACACCCTTGTCCTGGTTAGCTTTGTCAACTTGACACAGCCTAGAGTCATCCAAGAGGACAACGTCAATTGGGCAATTTCCTAGGTCAGATTGGCCTGTGGACATGTCTATGGGAGGGTTGCCTTGATTGTTAACTGATGTAAGGAGGGTCTAGCCCACAGAGAACAACACCATCCCTAGGCAGGTGATCCTGAACTATATTAAAAAGCTAGTTGATCATGCCAGGCATGGTGGTACACGCCTTTAATCCCAGCACTTGGTAGGCAGAGGCAGGTAGATCTCTGTGAGTCTGAGGCCAGCCTGGTCTCCATAGTGAACCCAGGCCAGCTGTGGCTACAGGGAGACCCTGTCTCAAAAAGACCAAAAAAATAAAAAATTAAAAAGCTAAAAAAATGAATAAAAAGCTAGCTGAGTATAGGCTGGCCTGTGAGCCAGCACACAGCGTCCTCCATGGTTCCTGTTGTACTTCTTCAGCTGTGAAGTGATTTCCTTGGTGGAGGGTAATGCTGTGTGGAATAGCAACTAGGCCCGTCTTCAAGTCCTGCCTTTACTTCCTTCAAGGATGGACTATGACCTGGAGTTATAAGTCAACGAAATCTATTCCATCCCTAAGTTGTTTTTGGTCAGAGTGATTTTGTTTATTTTATTTTATATTTGAGTCAGGGTCTCACTATGTAGCCCTGGCTGGCTTGGAACTTGCTATACAGACCAGAAGATGGCTTTGACCTGCCTCTGCCTCCCAAGCTCTGGGATTAAAGTTGTGTGCCACCACACCTGGTCAGTTTTATTTTTTAGTTAATCTGTATATGTAACTATGTGGGGTATGCTCACACGAGTATCATTGCCCTCAGAGGCCAGAGGCCTCAAATCCCCCTTGAGCTGGAGTTACAGGCAGTTGTGAGCTGCCCGATGTGGACTGGGAATTGAACTCAGGTCCTCTGTAAGAGCAGCAAATGTTCTTAACCACTGAGCCATCTCTCCAGCTCCTAGTCAGCGAGGATACCAGAGCAACCCCCATTCCTATTCCCCTTTCACCTAGCTAATTTTAGCTCATGTCTCAGACCTCAGCTGAATTTCAGTTCTTTAGGGAGGCCTTAGCCAGCTGTGAGTGCCAGAAGACTGTCTCTTCAACATTCTATTCCCAGCACCAAAACTAAAGCCTAGGACTGGGTGGCAAGCCTCATTAATCACGTTCATCCCTGCAGTCTCCAGGGATGAATGTGGTTAAGTTTCCACTTGAAAAAGACTAAATATGAGAATGTTTAAAGATACAACAAGTTATCATTGGAATTTTGTTCACAATGTGTTTATGTGCTTTTGCTCCATTTAGTAGGGTAGAAGTTTATATGTTAAATTTGACAGATGGAGCTTTCAATATTCCTATTAATCACAATGAGTTCCTTAAAAATACAAAATGTGCTGGGTATAGTGGCACACGCTTTAGTCCCAGCACTCAGGAGACAGAGGCAGGCAGATCTCTGTGAGTTCAAGGCCAGCCTGGTCTACACAATGAGTTCAAGACTAGGTGGGGCTAGAGGGAGACCCTGTCTCAAAAAAAGGTAAAAATAATAATAAAATTAGTAAAATAAAAAAATATTTATATTCAGCTTCATTATGAATTATATTGTTGATTTGAGGACATTTTTGTTGGTGGTGGTTTTTTAAAAAATATTTTATTTATTATTTTTATTTTATGTGTATGCGTGTACTGCCTGCATGTATGTAAGTATACCCTGTGGTGCAGTGCAATGCCCATGGAGGACAGAAGAGGCCCTCAGATTCCCTGGAACTGGAGTTACAAACAGTTGTTAGCTGCCATGTGGGTGCTGGGATTTGAACCTGGGTCTTCTTCAAGAGCAGTCAGTATTTTTAACTGCTGAGCCATCTCTCCAGCTCTGGTGTTTTTTTGTTTTGTTTTGTTTTGTTTTGAGACAAAGTCTCACATGATAGTCCAAGCTGGTTTCAAACTCTAAGTAATCCTCCTGCCTCAGCCTCCTGGGTGTTGGGATCACAGGTGAGTGCTGGGATTCCAGGTATGAGCCCCCACACTGGCTTAAAGGCACATTTCGTTTTTAAATTTTATTTATTATTATTTTATATGTATGCGTGTATTGCCTACATGTATATAAATGTACCCATGTCATGCAATGCCCTTAGATGTC